TTATGATATCTTCAAACATATATTTTATTCAAAAATAAAAACATCATCGCTTTCTCAAAATCACATAAAGCCATATTATAACATCGACTGAGATAAAGGATAAAATGAATATTAAAATCATGATATATCTCGCTGCATTGCGCGAGAGAGAGAGAGAGAGAGAGAGATTAATTCAAGGGAGAACTGATTAGTTTGTGATAACTATAATATCCAATCTCAACCACAAATCAATGAATAAATTATGAAACTAATATTTTTGATAATTTGACTTAAAATTATAATTAAATGGTATTTTAAGTATTTTAATTTTTGTATGTCTCCTCTCTCTCTCTCTCCTACCTTCGGCTTCCGACGAACACCATGTGATATCCAAAACACACCAAATAAACTTTGAGAACACTGTGATACCAACTGTGGTACCACTATCGTAGGTGGGTGTTTAGTGATCGATCATCGGATACGGTATCTTGGCCAAACAAGATGACCGGATGAGGTCGCAGGAGTGGTGGTGAGTTTCGAAGAGGGCCATCGGATTTGGTCTGTGTGTGTATATATATACATATATTAAAATAATTAAACTAATTAAAATAAATTGAATAATTAACACGATTTACTAATTTACCTTTTGTTTTATTTTAGTAAATAACATTAATTATCTAAAATAATTGACTCATATTATATCTCACAGTTATCACAAACTATTCAGTTCTAATTTAATATTATATATATATATATATATATATATATATGAGAGAGAGAGAGATATTAGTGGATTGGTCCACTTGGTATCGAATTATTAGTTTATTACATTAAAAATGAAACTTTAATAATGGTTTCGTCCACTATCCCTAATTCAAATGAAATCAATCATATTTTTAAATAAGATGTTCATCATGAAAAATATAAAAAATCAAAAAGTAAACTGTCGGTTTTTATGATTGTCATCCACCGATGGTTCTTGTATTTTTTTTTTAAACAAATTACAGTTTTGATTTGTTGTCATTTTACTTCACTTTTGGTTCTTCTAGTTGTCATTTTGTTTCAGATTTGGTTCGTCTTGTTAACTCTGTTAAAAAATCCAGTTATGTTAAAGGGTATTTTGGTCTTTTACACTTTTTATCTTTTTATCAGTGTTTTGTTTATCCCTTTTTCCATTTTTTAAATTAAATTTCAATGTACAAATGCTTAAAACATATGTACAGCCTATTGATGCACCCTAATCTCAGTCCGGCAAAGTCTCCAGTCATCTTTTCCTGTGAAGTCTCCGATCATCTCCAGTAATCTTATCCCTTTTTCGATCATCTTCTCCAACTGAAAAAACCCAAACCAAAGCAAAACCCGTATTTGTTTATTCCATCACAAACCTAAATACAAACAAATCTGAAACTCAAACTAATTATAACCCAAACGGCACAAATTTAAAACTCAAAGTCTTAAACAGATGATCAAACAGAGTCAAACTAAAACCAAAATAGATGTTCAAAGAAATCGAAAGCCAAACAAAGAAAAACCCATAACATGATCTTGAAACCTAAGGGGTTGTTTGTTTACCTCTTAATAGTTCTATTAAGAGACAGTCTCTAAATCGTTAAGAGGTGAATCTTGTTTGGCAAAAAAAATATATATATATATATCTCTTAATGGTTCTAAAACCCTCTGAATGATTTTGTATCATGGATCTCCCTTAACCATTAAGAGCCATAATTTCATTGTACACAATTACCAAACAATTATATTTCGTTTTGCACTATATCATGAGAACCTCTTAATAATTCTGACTACTTAATCATTTTGCAATTACCAAACAGCCCCTAAATCTAATCAACAACCAAAATCGAACCAATTTTGAACCAAAACAAGAAAGCCCATATCGAACTAGAGATAAATGGTGCAGGTACCAGAACCAGATGTTCGAACTGCTGTAATTGTTCGAATCAGTTAACCAAATCTGAAACTGATGAAACCCATGTCGAGCTTTTCTTTATTTAAAGCTTTTTTCTTTATTTTTCTAAATTCCAAAAAATGCACACTATCATCTCATTGTTCAAAAGTCAACATCAAACTTTCGTTGACTTCTTTAATAAATAAATAAATAAGAATTAGGGCATAGAGAATTAAGGATATTAAACATAATCAATTAATTAGGGACAAACCTACTCCATTAATTCACAAAATATTTGCATTCCGTACGTTTGGTTCAATTAGATTTTGTAGGTTGCTAATTTAATAATTATGGTAACATCTCTTTTATTTTATTTTTAAATTACAAGAATTATATCTGATAAATTATATTTTTACAGTTATTAATTAAAGGCAGGGTTTGTGTCACGATGTTGAAATTAAGAAATCAGTATTGATGTTATGACTTTGTATCCGTGAGATCATCATGTTTTCGTGAAACCCATGAAAAAACTTTTTTACACTTGAAACTTCATAGCAAAACGCTGTGAATGTAACATTCACAGTGTTTTGCCTTGAATGTTCGGTTTTTTTTATATATATTCACAACGTTTTTCTGTAAAGTTTCAAATGTAAAAAAATGATCTCACGAAAACAGGTCAGTCTCACGTAAACCCAACCATTGATGCTATATTATTAAACATTTAGGTTTTACATCTTATTTTTTTTTCTAGAATACAAATGTTAAAAACATTATGTATAAATTCCATATGAACGGATCAAGTTTTGCAAATCCACATATTATCTCAATTAAAAAAAATCTAATTTATGTTAAATATAACTAAATTATAAGTTAAATAGATTATATAAGAAAAACGGTTATTTTTATTCCTTTTAATTTGATACCTATATACTATATTATAAAATATTTGATAAAAACTCGTAAAACCCATTTTTTATGCATGAACTACTATTTATTGATGCATAATACTTAAAATTCAAGATTACAAGTAAATTGTGTGTAAGTACAACTTATTAAACCTTCATGTTTGTATTCGTGTAACTAATTGCAGATAAATATAATCAAATAGAGAATAAACATCTCATTTTAAATATAAAAAAATTAACATATAAATAGGATAATTATTGTGTTCTAACAAAATACTTAATTACTATCTTTATAAAAAAATTATATTATTAAACATAAATTAAATTATAATAAAAAATGAATTAAATAAATTACATAAAAAAACAAAAAAAAAAATTAAATAGCTAGTTTGATGCTAATATCAACATATTTTTTTTCTTCAAATTTTTATGATATCTTAATATTTATATTTTATTCATAAATAAAAACATTATCGTTTTCTCAAACCGTATTATAATATTTACTGAGACAAAAAAAAACACTAAAATCGAAATATATCTCGTTGCATCGCGAGTACTCTTTTAACACATACACACACACACACACACACACCCACACACACACACATATATATATATATATTCAAAAAATTTAATTCAGTTTTCAAAATTTCAGTCATAAGTATATTCACATATAAGTTTATTCATACAATATTTGTACTATATTATACAACATTTACAACTTATTAATACATTTGAATTTTATAAAACGAACTTATAACCAACCAGTAAACATGTTAAATAATAACCAAAGGGCCTTTGGCTTAACGGTATATGAGTCATTGGCTTTTTAGAGGTCAAGGGTTCAAACCTCACCAAAGGTGAGGAGGGTGTGTGAGTTTATTTGTTCTATTTGCCGTATATAAATATTATGTACTTCAAAACCATACAGATTCATAAAATAAAATTAAGAAAAACAAAATAGAAATTACACTGTGCAAGTACACTTGTAGTCATCTAGCGCATTTCCAATGGATAACACCAAATGCCACACCGATCCATAAAAACTGATGTAAAATTTAGTGCAAACAATAAATTTTCTCCAATAGGTAAAACACTATAGAAGCAACCTTTCTTAGCGCACTTTTCAAGCACTTAGCTTCTACGGGAACTGGGTCGATCTGTTCTATGTTGAAGCATCCGAAGCGCCATCGCTTTTGCCCGGTAAACTGATCCTAGCAGAATGAATCTTCTGAGCTTTTTAAGACAATTCTTACTCACTCTTAGGGGACGTTTACTAAACGCTTATCCCGTAAGTGCTTACTCAGTAATTTTCCTTACCGGATGAACATAACAATGGTCAAAAATCTTACCTGGTAAGAGCAATGATAATGAGGAGTCTTACACGGTAAGTGATGGTGACGACTCTTACCTGGGTAAACGCTTACCGAGTAAATTGTTGCATACGATACCATTTTGATGTACTATAATCTTATTCGGTAAAATAAATTACATTGTTGACTTCTAATGGTAAGCGTTTACCGGGTAAGCATTTTGGTAAACGACCCCTTAGTGTCCTTCGTTCCCGAAAGGGGGTGAAAATCAGGTAGTCTGATTAGATATGTCACTGAAAGAAAGTCGCCATCTTTGTTGTACTGTTTTCAAACAAATCCAATATTAGACCAAGCGTTGTCAGCTGGTACCAAATTTTACGCATGATATTTTAGTGATTGAGTTTCGAAAATTCATTCACAGGTGATTTCTCAATTTTCTTTATAATCATAATTTCATTCTTATTTGCTATTTTTATTCCACCTTATTATCAAACTCATGTTCATCAAGGTCGTTGTTTAACATGTTAAATATGAGATTTTGAACATGCTTCCAAAATTATTTTACATGTGTTTATAGTACTTTTATCAAGCATTAACCAGTTGAAACATTAATTAGTTACCATGTTGATGTGGCGAGTGATGTGATGAAATTGGGTTAAACAACAAATAATACTGAGTTGGATACCACATCACTCGTTACGTCAGCATGATAATCGGTTAATGCTTTAACTAGTTATCCGAGTAACTAAATGTTTAAAACTTTACATCTTATGTACGAAAATGAAACATCTGAAAGTACGTTACCCAAAATAGAAATCAAGTTAAAGTACGTTACTTTTTCATACAATTTGACCTATTGAAAATCACTTGGGTTGTGGCACATTGATTTAAGCTTATAGATGTAAGCATTGTTTATTAAACATAAGTTAACTTATTTTTTAAGTACATATTTGGATGAACATAAAATATCTTATTGAAACGCTAGTTGGAGTAGTTGTGTACGAGTTTCTTTTGACGTTTTTTCCAATTATAACCTTGATTAATATTAATATTTATTTATTACTATTCACTGCATTATGAAAAATAGTAATTGACTAATTTTCAAGATGCCATGACATATTTTTCATCTAGCTTATCAGCTAATTTTTCCAAAACATGATTTATTCATTAACTAGCTTGTCATCTAACTAATCAATTAATCTGCCAAACATTACCGTAATAGAAAACTCATTTTCCCTAGGTTTGAATCTAAGTGTTGCTAAAACTTTTATGATCATGAATGTTTACATATAACGACTCCAGACCATTAACGATTGCCCGATATTTATCAGTGCTCTTAAACGATCATGAAATGAATCCTGATACCTACTATTAAAAAAACACAATTATTGCGATTTCAATAATTTGAAAATCAGATAATCATCTATACTATGTTATAAAGCATTTGACAAAAACTCTTAAAAACCATCTTTTATGCATGAAGTACTGCTTATTGATGCATATTACTTAAAATCCAATGTTACAAGTAAATTTTACATAAGTACAACTTATTAAGCTCCATAATGGAATTCATGTAACTAACTGTAGATATATAATCAAACAAGATAAATTCTCATTTTAGATATATCTAAAATATAGTTAGGATAATTATTGAGTTATAACAGAATACTTAGTTATTATCTTTATAAAATTATATTTTTAAACCAAAATGAAATTACCTTGTCATTAAACCTAAATTAAATTATAATAAAAGAATCGAATTAGAAAAATTACACAAAAAATGAGAATTTTTATATATTTTTTCATTTTTATGATATCTTCAAATTTATATTTTATTAAGAAAAACATTATTTTTTGCTCAAAACCACATAAATTCGTATTATAACATCGACAGACATTGATTCAAAAAATAAAATAAAACATTAAAATCAAAATATATCTCGCTATATTACGTAAGTACCATTTTTCAAAAATGCATTTTCTTTCCACAAACTTATAATATTAAGAATATAAAATTTTGTAAAAGTGATTACAAGTCATGGTGACCAAAGAGTCAAAGACGACTTGTTATTAAGTCATTTTGTTGCATTTGCAGGAGTCAATCGTCCATGGTTTTCTTAGAGAGAGAAAGTGAAGCACCTTTTGGAAGGACACTGAAAAAACGCGGCCAATAATTTCCGGTTCTATCGTATTGGCCGGTGATGCCAATCGTCGACGATAGACCTCCGTCCGACGGTGGTGGTGGCGGTGGCGGCGGCAGCAGCAGCAGCAAAGTTTGGGGGTTATTGAAGTTACCGTTTCGAAGCTCAGGTAACAGTACTCCACATACAACAACGTTATCTTCTTCCTACCAAATCGAAGGATCGAACGCTCAAAGGAAAAGCGAAAATCATAGTTCTAGTTCCAGTTCCAGTTCCAGTAGCTCGGTCTTATCGGTGGCTAGATCTCTGATTCCGACGCGACGTCGTCTTCGGCTTGATCCGCGCAATAAACTCTATTTTCCATGTATGAACACTCGCCTATGTTAATGCTCCGTTTTCTTCGGTTATTGTTGTTTTTATTTGGAAATTGATCATTACTGGTTTTGCGAGTATTAGTTGTTCTAAATATTAACCTATTTGTTTCCTTACTCATGAGATCTAGATGGTTTTCTCAAATAGATTGACATTTTTGTGTTTTTTCACATGATTTCTTTAGAAATTTGGTATTTGTCTGTTTGTGATTTGAATTCAGCTAAATAGAGCCACATTTGTTTATGCGGTGAGATTAATAGCTGTGTTTTCTTAGTAGTGTCTCATTAATTGCATTGAAGATTAATGTTTCGACATGATGTTATAAATCACGGCACTGTTTACTTCTTCAGTTATCATTTATTGCTGTTGTTCCTAAAACATGCATATGTTAAATTAGGAACTGATGGATTTAGTTTTATTTGATAAGATAAAATATATGTAGAAGTACTTAAGAGCTTTGATTTAAAAGTAGAATAATTTAGTTCAGTTATCTTGATTTAGTTCTAGTTCCATTATGATAGAGTTCCAACTTCTGTATCATGAAGTTTTTGGCTTTTTGCTAATTGGTGCTACAATATTTGAACTTCCATTTTATTTTTCTTTCTAAAGTTAGTGGTGCTTGCTTGTAATTGTTGGATCARAATAAGAAACAACACAGAAAAACAGGGCTGGAGATCAAAGGATATTCTTATTATTACTGCAGCAAAATTTTCTATTCAAGAAACACATATACACACATATGAAGTGACAGACAGTTAACCAACATATGGTTTATGAACCAACACAACTGTTGGTAAATAACCACCAAATAAAAACTGTCGCTAATAACCTATCAACTATGATAAACATGATAATTTATATATAATCACATGACTTAGCTTATAATTTTAACGCTCCTCCTTAAGCTAAGACATATGTAACACACATCTTGAAGTATTCCAGCTTCAAGCATCATTCATCATCRGTCTTGATTTTCCCATGGAGAGTATCATCCATGGGTACATTCATTACCTTGTTTCTTTTCACAAGGTCATCATCATTCTTGTAACATGCATCATCCACTGGAGTTTCAAGTTCCTCAATTACCATGAACATTGTATCCCCTTCTTCAGTTGCATTTTCATAGATGAAATTTGCATCTTCACTCTCATCCTCTTTTCGTTTCTTGCAGTATTTCATAGTGTGTCCATATTTGTGACAATAATAACATTGAGTTTCAGATAAAGATCTTGCATGTACTTTTCCTTTTGCTTTTGTAGAGGAAAGGAATGCTTGTTCAGAAGGAGCATCATCAAAATTTCTCATCCGAAGTTCATGGGACTTGAGTGTCCCCAACATATTTTCCAAAGAAAGTAATGCCAAATCTTTGATTCTACGATGGCAACCACAACATACTCGAATTTTCGAGTCAAACTTCTTAAAATCTTCTCTGCAATTCTTTTATCATCAATCCCTTCCCCATTAATCCTCATTTGATTAGTGAGGGTAATCACACGGTTATAAAAATCTTCAACGGACTCGGATTCCCTCATCCGAAGTCCATCGAATTCACAACGCAAACGTACCATTTTAACTTTGTCTTCTCCACGGTAGGTCTTGTACAACATATCCCATGCATCCTTTGATGTAAGAGACGTTGAGATCCTCTCAAATATGGCCTCATCTACTGCTTGATAAATGAAGAATAATGCTTTCCTATCTTTTTTCTTATTTTCCTTCAGTTCTGTGGTTTGTTGTGCAGTCAAACCCGTTTGGTTTGATGGTTCGTTTACACCATTCTCGACGATGTTCCACAGATCTTGAGATTCATACAGAACCTTCATCTGTATGCTCCAATGATGGTAATTTCTACCCTTCAACTTTGGAAGTTGGGGCTGTAATAGATTGTTGTTTTGAGAAGCCATCTACGATTTTCCCGTCAATTCTTTCGCACAGTTTCTGTCAATGAACCGTGGCTCTGATACCACTTTGTTGGATCAAAATAAGAAACAACACAGAAAAACAGGGCTGGAGATCAAAGGATATTCTTATTATTACTGCAGCAAAATTTTCTATTCAAGAAACACATATA